GAACTTTTACATATTAATGTCCCGGAATTTAAAATTCTTTTCAAAACTTTTTTACTTACTCGATTATCGGTAATATTATTAAACAAATCCTAATCGTAAATATCAGTTATTATATAATGATATTTAATAACGAACGACGGATCGTACGACAATGATAGTAAAAACCCTTTCTAAATTTAGCCAACCTACTGTCTTTAACGTCTGATTACATTAACGGTCGGAAAAACCATGTAATGGTTTTTGGATTTCAAAAATTGGGATTACGAAGGATAATAATATATACTTAATATAATATATGATTTATTATTTTATACTCCAGTAGTCTCAGTATGCATTTATATGCCGTCAATACGGGTTGTATGCGACTGTGAAAGCTACTAATGGTTTTGTACGTATTTATACTTTATAGTGTCATGATTTTATTTAGTTGATTATTTACATAGTGACTTGCCACTAAAAAGACACTGTCATTTTAATGAAAAATCGCAAAATTATTTCTCATTTATTAAAAAACTAAACCTACTGACGATTTTAAAATGCAGTGTAGAACTCATAGAACATTTTCAGTAAGTCATGCTGGATGATCGGACTTAAATAATCACTTCAAAACGCAAAAATATAAGTTGATTACAAGATCGTCGATTGAATCTGGTAAAATTTTCAACAATTTTTCTGATTCGGTTACTAATGAAAATAATTTTTTGTTAGCTGTTCGAGAAACTATTTTGGTGTATCATACAATAATTCACAATCATAATTCTCGTTTTATGCCTTTTACATTGAAATTGATTCATCAATGTTTAAATGACAAGAAATTCACGTGTGTAAAATCTACTTCGATTAGTATGTTTTAAAAGTGTTAAATAAATTAAGATATCTAATCTTATTGATTAATTTTAATATGTTTTTACACCTAATGTCCTAATTAATCATAAACGGGTAATATCTATTGTATAAACATAGAATACAGGTATATCATACTAAAAATATGAAGAAAAAAATTATACATAATAATCAATAATTTCAGTGTCCCAGATTTTTTAAAATTTAAAATAACCACCCTAGAATAATATCAATATGATCAATTAAATCGTGTTGGCTAACCAATATCGATAAAATACATAATCATATCCTTTAAGCTGAGATCACAGCTATTTCGTCTGTATTATGGTGTCCAAAATAGAACAAGTTATAGTATTACTTATTTTGCAGTTATTTTGGCATTAATTACACAATTATTACAATCGATCTAATGTAAAAACATCATGACGTGTCAGTGTGCTCTTCCGATGTCTCCAAAAAGAAACGTTTAAGGTAAAATATTTTAAATTAAGTTTAATAGTAATATTAATAAGTAAACTAAATATATATATATATATATGTATGTAACAAAAATTAAATTGTGATTACCTAAATTATGTTTTGTATTTATGTATGACTTAAACGTATGACATAATATTTCATGAAATTAAAAATATACAATGAGTATCAATTTATCATATACTATATAATATAGGCTTAACACAGAAATGTATGAAATAATAATATAAAATGTTAGTGCGTATGTTATTTTGGTATCTACTAATAGCATTGCATGGTAGTTCATTATTTATACAAAAGTTATTTCATAAAATAAGTTTATTTTATGTATAATGATATTAAAGAAATTATTGTCTAATATTTTCAAGAACATTTTTAAAAATTGTATCTTATTAAAAATTAAAAGTATAACAATAGTAATTGAAACTGAACTAACTATTACTTAAAATAATAACATTGAATTAACTGAAAGACAAAACTGAGTAAATTTAATATGTATGCTTTAAATTAAGTTTTCGTGGATAAATTATTAAAGTTAGTAATGACGATTTTATCTTTCGAGAGTTTTTAGCTACTGTAATAACAAAAACAATTTTGAACAAAATATTACCACTAAAAAGTGCTAACGAAACAAAAATAAATATTTCATATAAATCAATAATTCTTTATTCCCAAAGAATACAAATTGAAACTTTTAAACAATAAAATATAATATAACTTCAAAAATATATGATTTTATTAAAACCCATTATATTATGATGGTGCCCTATAACTCAATCATTATTATTTTTCAAGCATAAAAAGTAAATATAAATGTTTTTGTTTCGTACTGAATAATTGTGATTTTTCTAAATCGTTATACGAGTTTCCAATTTATTTGTCTACAAAGTCAAGTAATAATGTCTTCGGTCTATGATCTATGATAATATTATATCTTCGTATTCTATAATATATATTAATGGTCAGATTGTCTTTTTAAATTTATAGCATTATATTATGACTCTTAAATATTTTTGAAAACTCTGACGATAAAACTTTTCAATGTTTTAACAAAATGCCAATTATTAGTGAGCTTATGTTAGAAAAATTAGTGCATTATTATAAATCTAAATATTTTTAAGCGTTGTATAATAGATATAGCTATATAATTTTTAGTACTTATCTAACAAAAAAATCATTCAATATTAATTTCAAAAGGATGAAATAATATTCTTATTTCTGTGTTAGCAAAATTCAACTTATAATTTCAGAGAAAGGTAATTTTTCAATTGTGTAATACCTTAAGTTACTTATAATATTTACACTATACAATTATAATATCTTTGTGTTCAGTATTAGCCTATGGCAATAATAATAGTAAAAATTTAAAAAGTACCGTCGTAACTATTAACATATTTTAATGTTTAGATTATCGAAAAAGTATGATCCATAATTTCGGGTCAATTTTATTCAAAAAAACTTCTTAAACACAACATTTATGAAATTAATACTTTTAAGAGTTGGTATTAAAATGTAACAAACCTAACGTTTTTTATCAAGTCTTATACCTGCAAATTATTGTAATCGACTTCAGTATATATTTTTTTTTCATTTCATAAACATTTACGTTAAATATATTGGCATATTCTAGTTATGAGCTGTCTATTTCGGGTTCATAACATTGTTATGCGTATGGCTTACACAAATAATATTTTATTTTATGTTATTACTAATGTACAGAGATTTTTCCTGTCCACTTATTTAATCTAACCGGTAATTATTTTAACCTACTTTTAATGCCCGAGACATGATTACAATGTTACAGAATAAACAATTCATTATATAAGAGAAAATATACGCAAATGAAAATAATTATAATATTATACATCATACAGTTTCGAAGTAATAATTATATTCTCACCTACTCAACCGGTTAATGACAACAAGGATTAAAGATTTGCAAACATGTAATACCTGCGTATGAAAAAATTCTTTTCCTTCAACATTTGTTGTATTAAAAATGAAAATTGTTTTAAAAAATAAACTACAAATCAATATAATCAATTTTAACCTAAAACGAAAAAATAACCAATAATATGATAATGGGAAAATATTCTATGAATAGGTCATTTATTTACTAACCGTTTTTACGTATGTTGCAAGTGTACATTTATTTTTATCGCATATCAGGAAATAATACATAAATAATTATTAGTAATAAATTGATATTATATCTGCTGGCATAACTGCAGTGTAACTGCAAAGTATTAGGAAAATGTCTTAAAAATTTTATCTTAGATTATCATTATTACGCAATACGAGAAACCAAGTTTTTAAATATTTAATATTGTATATAAAAATCTTAACACACACATGATATTATTAAATAGTGATATAATTATTACAACATTCCCACGGCTTAAAGGTGTATTTGATCATAACTAAACTAGATAATGACTTAGAAATTACTTAATTTTATTACCTACTTTAATTTACGAATAGTAGACGGATAATACATTTTTGATAGTATTATAATGTTGAGTTAATACGTATTTATTTATTTTTTTAAATGTATTATTTTAATATTTTTAGAAACAATTTATTCAAATCCATAACTAGTCACGGCAGTCAGGTCTTTCGGCAAGATTTTCCAATGTACAAATTTTATTCATACAATGATTAAAAGAACTCATTTTTGTGACCAAATTCTGAGATAGTCGTTAATTTCTTACAATGAAACTTGAATACCACTTAGGGTCGTAAAAATATTAAAGCTTATGTACAATAATACATCAAATATACTATCAAAAACATATTTTGAGGATTATAGTGCACGCACTCGGTTAGTTGATGTTCATATCATTATTCATTGATTAGAGTAGGTACACAATTTAATTGATTATTTTACAGCGTAAATTAATCTCGGCTATTGGAAGGAAAAAGAAGAAAAGGGTAATTATACTTTGTTGGTACAACTATTGATAAGGTATGCATTCCTTTACGTTTATTTTTTTTTTAAATCAGTTATAATTATTTTTTATTTTATTTAAGGCTAATTTGACAATTGTATGTACACACTCTCGCAGTTACTATTATAAATACATAAAAAAAAAAAAAAAAAACAAAAGTCCAACTCTAGAACTAAGAGGGGAAATCCACTCATAGCCTACTCAAATACGCAAATATTAGCTATTACACACAGATAATACAACCGTATAGCTATACACCGTGATCAAGGGTCATATCGGACGCGTCCCTGTTTGAAACACTTTTCAGGTAGGTACCTATTTGCGACTAAAATAAAAAATAATATTATTATTATTTTTTTTTTTTTTCTTATATAATATTATTATTTGCGACACACCGATTTGATATCGTTATTACAATATATTATGGCTTTATATTATACCGTTCGCACTGTCAGCAGCCGCAGTCGTTGTATGTGTCTCGTCTGTGGCGCCGCCCCGTCCGGCCGGTAAATAAAATATAATATATATATACCACGGGGTGAGTGGTGTGGTCGGGGGTAGGGTCCAGATTGTGCGTTCGTGTGTGTGTGTGTGTTTTCATCTCTCGGGGTCAAGGCCACGCGACGGCCCAGACGGTGACGTCACCGTCTGCCCAACACACGAGTGATCGCAACAGGTGGTGGTGCGACGGTGGCGGCGGAACAGTCGCGGTCGCAGTCGTCGTCTATGGTCGCCATCGTCTCCGGTCGCCCCGTATAGGAGTGCCCCGACGCACGCACACACACACACACACACACACACACACACACACACACGTCACACACACCCACATACACGAGCGCCGTCGACCCAAGTCCCGCGAGGAAACGCGTGCCGCTACGGTCTACCACGTGCGCTTTTTTTTCTTTTAGTTATTTCCGTTATTTTTATTTCCACTTGCTGTGGTGAACGGTCCGTCATCCGTCCGGAAAATATATCAGTTAGTTCGACTGTGTCGCAGCAAACATTACCACTTCCACCATGCAGTCTATGCGATATTGCACCTTTAACGACGACATTATTTTTTTTAGCCGTACCGAAATCTGTGCGAGTGCTGCATGGAGCTTGTTGCCGCTAAAAATGCATTCATGATAATAATATTATTATTCGTGTACACGCGTCGTCGTCAGGTACGGTATACATTCGTGCGGAAACGATGTCTCGTACTATCCACATAGGCAGAGCTGCAGTGTAGACCAGATTCATCATTTATACAACTCGTCTGTATAATAATCTAAATACTTGGCGAACGAGCGAAACTTATTTTTTGTAGATTCTACAAAATTACGCACCAGTAATCTAAAGGTTAGACTTTTAAGGACTCCGGTCAACTGGGTCAATGCTATCTAACCGATATAATCTCTGATTTTATCAAACTGCTGTTATAAGTATTTTTTTTCACATTATAATTTTCTAAAATAATTAAACACATTATTAGATATCTTTATTTATAGCATATTTTTATTTTTTAAGGAGGACCTTCAACACGACAATTTATTCTTTGACATGATCAACAAAGAGTTACATGCAGATTATTGATTATATCATTTAATTACATCAAAATCGTCAAGGGGAAATATGGTTTTAAATATTTTATTATAAATAATCATTATATATAAGAATGTGTTTAAGCCTTGCAGTTGAAGCATAAACGTAAGTCGATTAATTCGTTAGAAAAAAAAAAATAAATATTTATAGTTGATTGTCATTATCACTGTTAAACAATTTTGTATAGGATTCGTGATTTTTGAAAATGTTTTTTAAATTTATTGTAGTATCTTAAGACCTCGTAAGATGAATACAATAGGTATAGCACCACTCTTTTGCGATTTGCAGGACGAACGATGTCGAGTCACACCAGGCTTATAATGCATGATGCATGGTAGTATACAATATAAAATTATACCAGCTAATAGTATAATTATACGTGGTTGATTTTAATCTGTTCACTCCGGCGGCGTTATATTAAATCGAAGATGATGATGAGCAAAATATGTTTCTATTTCTCTAAAAAAACACAGCGGTCGCGGAAGAACAGCTACACTATACGATAATAGGTATGCGTGATCCTAAATAGCAATAATAATATAATGTCATGTGTCACAAGTACCATAGCTAGGTATCTATAGTTCTTTCGAACACTTGTGGAAATAACACAGTTGATTATAATAATACATTATTATATTGATATTATCATATGGTTATCAATGATAACGAGTTATGCGCTGCACTCGTTTTGTCTCAGATAGTCGGATACATCGCGTAATATTAAAATAGTACGTTGATTGTTGTAATATGATATATTATAAAAGATTGAAGTACAACACTTGTATACGATTAACGCATCTAAAGTAAATAGTGATTACAGCGCGCGTGCAGTATGTATGTTATTATAATATTTAATTCGATTGGCCGTTTTCGATCATCGCGATAATACTATGTTATTTATCGTAGTCATTAAATTAAATTATGTTTATGCTATTACAATATAATATATTATTTAAATTAGATTTTAACATCATTTTTTTTTCTCTATCGCCGACCATTTAAACATGGTTACATAGTTTATACAATTATTATGCATATACAACTATTAAAATTATTTTTAAATGGAAATTATAATAATGTCGTCCTCATTGGTCGTATTGTATATATTATGGTGTACATGGTCGCATTGTATACCAATTTATGTAATAATAATATTATGTACACTTGGAATAATACCTCGCGATAGTCATGCCAATCCATTGTGCTATAGATTTTTAATCGTTTTAGTTGTAAATTAAAATATATATTGCGTTTCCCGTTCAAACCAACACGGTGGCATATATATTTCATCTAACATACCTATTGAACTTTATCGAATCGGTAACAAACGAATAGCAACTAGCCCGCTGAAACGTTGTTAGAAAGTCCAAAACGTCAAAACTTTGTTGAAACGATAAATTTATTAAACATACCAAAACGTTAAGTACACTAAAATATGCATTGTACACAATCTATTATATTAGCTGCCATTGTATGGTATCGACCAATAAGACGTATCAGCATTATAAATAATATATAAAGCTATATATATATTATATTATAAGTATCATGTTTAAAAACCTGTATTTTTGATAAATTATACAAATTAACTGCACTTTTTGGTTTGAAGGTGTATATTATTACACATTATCGTAAAACTGTGTTAGTAATGCTGTATAATGCTATGTTATGTTATAAATATTATATGACTTATCATACATATGACATTATAACTATTAAAACAGTCACAGCAGTTTTTTTACCCTTGTTTTTTTGCATGACTTCATGGGTAAAGTTTTACTGTTAACCAAATCTTTTTAATATGTTAACTATCATTTAAAAAAATGTAATATTTTATTTAAATTGATATTAGTTTTTTTTTTTTATGGACCACATTATTATTTACATGAACACCTGCAGCAGTTATTATCAGTTTGTTAATAAAACGTAATTTTTAAAAAAGAATGCAATAGTAGTATATATTTTTCACTGATTGAGAGACAAGAGTATAATAAAAAGTTATAATTATTAGATAAAACAAATATTAAATTTTAAATAGATATGTTTTTAAATGCGTTGTGTTGTATTTATTCTATAATATGTATAAATAATATAACTATACTGTAAATTTTTTATGATAAATTATAAATCCAAACTGTTAATTAGCAACAAATAATATATTATTATGTGTTTAATATTATCAACTAACGAGTGATATGAAAACTTCCAATTTAAATTATATTCGTTTTCGGAAATCAACAACGATTATATATTATAACATTATCGTAATATATAATATTATATATGTTTGCAGTATTTATAAATTGCTATAGACCAAAGTCAGCCGAACCAGTAAATTATTGACACGTGTACGTATTAGCCATTCGCTATTATACAAAAGTCAAAGTGTTATTCTACGCACGCGGATGAGCAAACGTATTACACTCATAAAAGTGGGATACCCTAAGATGTCCGATAGTGATGGACGATGATTGTGAGAATGTGATATGAGCTCTAGCGGTTTTAGTGACACAATAATAATTCTTTCTACGGTGATCTCTCCTGGGTAAAAACGTCAAAATAACCGTAAAATAAACTTTACTCTCTTGAATTCCGAAAACGATCTAGTATAAATTGTTCTGATTTATCGATAATAATAATAATAATAATAATAATAATAAATTAAATAACCCATTTCAATAGGTTTTATTATTATAAAAATGTAATTAAAATGAAAAATAGCTAACAAATCAAACATTTGTCTATTAGTTGAACATTTTGTTTGTATTATAGTGTTTCATATTATTGCATTAATCTTGAATATGTGGTGAAACGTGGTTATGTCTGACTACAGTATAATTACAGGGTTAAAATTATACAGACAAATCGAATATCGTTTCAAGTTTTTGGAGATTTTTATAATAATATATTATATGGAAATATACATTTTAAGTATATGTTTATATATTTTTTTAAAAGCATAATAATATGTGAGTCCACATTATATTATGCGTTAAAATTGTTTTTAATATACATTATAATATAAAATAGATGTTAGGCGAGATGCGATTATATTCTTAGATGTTATTTTTTTTTTACTAATAATTTAAAATCGTAGAAACATTGTTAATAATTCGATTAGTAACAGTCATTTAAAAATGATAGATATTAATACGTTTTTGGATGCTATTAAACTATTTTAAAAAGTATAATTTTTATAAGAATATCGAGCTGTTATCGCAGCATATTAACTGGAAATCAGTACTTATGTTTAAATATTATTTACATTTACAAAAACGAAAAATGAATTATTTCTTATAAATTCAATTAGATTTAAATTCATATAAATAATAGATTTGTACTGTGCACAATATATTTTTTACCTATAATTAATAAATATATATAATTTCATGAGACGCAAAATAAAATTAATATCATATCTGAATGATAATAATATAATAATATGTATTAAATAGATCTCAAACCAAACTTTCACGTTTAGCCTATAGTGAAACGGAATTCCAAAATATAAATAATATGGATCTGTTAAATGCCCGAAGGAAATAGGTCTTGAACAATGGATGACTTGTTAAGTAATAAAATGTAGATTGCCGTATTTAAGAGCAAATCAGCACACTTGATCAAAGCTATTGTACTCTAATAATGTGGGGTCTTGAATTGAATAATAGGTACCTTATAATATACGTACGTATATGGAATATTATTTTTTTATAATTATTGTAGAATATATTTTCATTGAAACCGAACTATTGCCATCGTCTATACTATATAATATTATATCATATTGTAAAGAAATGCCGCGATTTTTTCCATATTATACATAATATAAATACACGCCTAATATTGATCATTTATAAATGAATAGGAATTTATTATTATATTCTCTCATGAAGTGTGGCCAATATTAACTGTGCATAAGGTTGATAATTATTATATTATTTCAAGTCTGCGAAAAGATTTTAATCTCATATTACGTCATTGCAGTTAATAATTTGTATGATACGTTTTCTTTGCGTAGATGTAACTAATTATCACACGTGGAAGTAATCAATGTAATGTAATCGGTTTAAAATAGTGTGTAAAAAATAATTATTCATTTAAATATTATATTTAAACTATATAAGTAGGTTTACTGTGTATACATTGTACAATAAAATGTTTATAAACTGGTTGACATTGAGATCAGCAATATTTTTTATTTTTTTTTTTTCGTTGTACTTCAAATACCAAAAATCATTGGGATTATCTGTTTTTTATCAAAAAATACACACCTAAAATATTAAATATTTAATATACAAACGAGTGTTTCTGGATGGTATGTAGACAAATTAAAATTAATTTCCAAATAAACACGGTAACCGGTTTAAATGAAATAAACTCTGATAATGGCTCATTCAATTTTTTTCCACAGCGGCAAACAACTTAAATTTATACCATACTAACCAAAGCTATGATCATTATTTTTTTCTGTTTTATTGTTTGACATTGTTAGACAGTGATGGAACCCAATCCTTAATGAGATATCTGTAGATCATGGCAAGAAAAAAAAATTAAAGAAAGGATTTACAATTTTATAAAAAATACACTTAATACTTAAATGGGGAAAAAATGTACCTACTACAGAGTGAGCTCGTATTATTATTTTTTTTTGTCAATCTTGCATTATACACGTGGAATAAAAAGCAACAGCGGGAATTGATATAATACATATGATGACTTCTAGCATAAAATATGTATAAATAAATAAAAAAGAAAATTAATTAAAAACTCAAGTAAGAATGAGTAATGGTATTTGTTTTTAATTTTATCTAAAGCGTAATTTTTTTTATATAGATTCAAATATAATAATTATTATATTATAAATTATAATATATTTCGGTCAATATAAAAATATCGTACTGGTTCCAAGAATAATATTATATGCATATTTCATCTTTTTTATCAGATAAAAACGTCTTGATAAAACGGTTGTACATAATATTTTATACATATACATTACGTAAATTTGTAATGAAAATAAACTGCACCACGCTAACATCCGTTTTCGTTTCGAAATTTCCGGTTGCCCCCCTCCCCCCAATTGGGTTTCTGCGCGCACACAACGCCAGAATATTGTCACGCCGGAAAAATCGTGAAGTTTTACGACGACGTAATGGCCGTTTCTTGTTCATAAATATTGTTTATGGTAATATACATTATTTTATTACTCTTTAAGTAAAACACAACTCGACAACAACTACCATGTATTTTCCGTCGTCGTCTGCTATACCGTAAGATATAAGACACATTTATATATATCAGTATTTATTATATATATACATACCAAGCGAGCTAGTGTAATGGATCGTTTTATTATTGCCAGGCCTAAGTTATTATTTTCTTCAGACTTTTGAACATTAACATGAAAAAAAACAACTCAAAAATACAATAGTATCGTCTGTCTTATCTACAGCGACCGATCCTTCCCATTCAAAGTCCACACACACACACACACACATACACTCTCTCG